ATAATTGTCATCGTTTTCAAACTGAAGGAACAATATCAACAATTATTTCATCATATTATGACGATCAATGTGAATTTTCTCGAGAAAAGTAAAAAAAAAGAAAAACTTTTATCTAGAAAATAGATTTAATGTTTTTTTTTCTTTTTCACAGTCTTGCAGTTGGTCATTTAATTGGAAAAGGAGCATTTGGTTTTGTATATCAAGGTGTAGCAAAGGGTATTAATTCAAAAGAAAAACTAACAACAGTAGCAATCAAAACTGTTCGAGGTTAGTTTTTATATCGAAAACAGTGTAGTACTGTACTGAATTTTACAGTATTTCGTTTTAATCCACTATCCCGTTTTACAAGCTGATTTTTTTCTCGCTAGAGAACTGTCATCATATTCCTCATTATTATCTACTATTTTCTGGAATGACAGATTATGGCGGTGTTTTGAGTGTGGTGGAAGAGAAGACCCACACGCATTACTTGTGGAACTAAAATGTGAAACACGATGTAGTTGCTATTGCTAATTATAGAGACATCGTCTTATTCTAGTATGGGACACATTTCTTCACTATCCTTTTGATTAATCCTTCAGAAATACAATAAAAAAGTAGTTCATATACAGTCTTTGATCGTATAGCAACAACATCTGTGACGCGGGAAAGGGATAGGGGATGTTGTTAAGAGACCTTCTCTTTTTCGGATGTGAAAATCAGTAATTTTTAGATTTTTGGTATAGCTTCAAAGTGGTCTCTGTCAAATGCCATATAAATGAGTGCTCTTCATTGTTAGTTAATACTTCTATTAAATCAAACTTTCGAAATCCCTAGCAGAAAAACTCCGCTGTGATTACTCTTTGTCTGCCAAATTCTTCTAATGATAATTCCAAAAGGTGTTGAGAACATCATCAGTTTTCGATCACTTTAGTTGATGGAAAAAGTTCTGATATATACAAGAAAATTTATTTTCTGTTTTTCTCAACATCAATTTTTACACAAAAAAATAGTGCAGAATCACCTTCGGTTCTCTGATATGGTACTTTTGATCGAGCTGAAACTTTTTTTTACAGGTATGGGACATTGTTTGAAATGCCTAGTTTTTTTTTGTTTTGAAAAGTATGGCACCGTTTGATCTTTTTATTCGAATAGAAAGAGAAAAAAAGATATTAAAAAAAAAGGAGAAAGCAGAGCGATTTTTAGCCTTTGCAATCTAGATATTTCCTAGAAGGAAGTATTTAGAAATTTGGTGACTATGACAAGTTTTGCTCTACTCATCAAGATCTATGTATCCTGAAAATTTCAAATATTTCTGATGAGCCGTTCTTCAGAGGCTCTAGAAAGAGAGGACAGAAATTTCTACGCCTATACGTCAACACTTCCTTCAGGTCGTGTTTCACAAACATTTATATTTTAGATGATGCAACACCAGAAGAAGTTGAAAATTTACT